ACCACTGAGCCACCTGAAGCCCTAAATATAAACTGTATGGTACAATTGTTTCACTACCAAAATCAGGAAGAAAACACAAACTATCCCCTGCTCCTAAGAGACAATCAGTCAGGATGGTCAGGAGTCCACCAAGATCACCAGAAAAGCAGGTCAGCAGTGAATTAGAAGCTGCTGGAACACAGCTGTCAGTGTCCACAGCGTGTTATGCATCGGCATGAGCTGAGAGGCTGCCATGCAAGAAGGAAGCTCTAAAGGCTTGAATGAAGTTTGCTGCAGGTCACATGGAGAAAATAAAAGGCCTTCTGGAGAAAAGGTCAGATGAAACAAAAATTTAGCCATTTGGCCACAATGACTAGAAATGTGTCTGGAGGAGAGAAGGTGACATCTTTATCCCAAGACCACCAAACCTACTGTTAAGCATGATGGTGGTGGTAAAGTGCATTCCTCAGCTGTAAGCGTTCATGATGTTCTTGTGAGTGATGGTGGTGCACAGGAAGGTTGTGTTAAGACAGAAAGGATGTGGTTTCTGATTGAGCTTACTGGTCTGAGTCCAATCTGAAACCTGTGTGTGTGTGTGTGTGTGTGTGTGTGTGTGTGTGTGTGTGTAGGTGTGCGCACGAGTGTGCGTGTGTTGCAGCTGTGCCTTCCTTTGAGGATGCCTCAATGGCCTTGATGGCCCACCATCTGCAGTAATGGGAAGCCCACAGTCAGTGTGTTCAGTGATCAGATGAATGCCTCCATAGAGTGGTCTGATCCATTCCAGCTCTCAGCTCCATCTCTGTGGAAAGATATTGTGGTTTACCGTTATGATGTATCAGACAATAACTGCAAATTGGTGGGTCAGTAAGGGTGGAGATATGGAGATGAAAGACTGTCTGTATGTCCTTTGCATGCTCAGTAATGTGAGCCCCCGTTACCCCATTCAGCTCATATTCAGCACCTGCATGGTGATAAACAGAGATCCTACCAACAACTGCAGCTGCTCCTGTATCTACGACTACTACAACTCCTGCAGCTACCGCTACTGCAGTTAGCACCATGGACACATTATGAGGCAACAGGCCGCTGGGCATAGACATGTAAAAAGCTTCTCCTCCAGAAGACAACAAGATTCAAAGACACACAAACATATTTTGATTTCAATTTTGTCTCTTCTCTGTACCTACAAGTGTACCAACTACTGTTATTGCTACTGCTATCATTACTTGTACTGCTAATTGAAAAAAAAAAAAAAAAACATCTATCACCACTGCCGCTAGTGCCCATGTTGTCAGGCTGGTCTGTTTAATGACGGATATCTGAATATTCGGTCCAACCATATACTGCATAAAAGATGGACGTAGCAACCGGCCCTGAAAAATGAAGCCAANGACAATTTACAATCACCAAATAACCTCAGCATGTTTCTGGACTGTGGGAGGAAGCCGGAGAACCCGAAGAGAACCCACGCTGCACGGGGAGAACATGGAGACTCCACGCAGAAAGATTCCGGTGCCCCCACTGGGACGCGAACCGGCAACCTTCTAGCTGCGAGGCAACAGTGCTTCTAAATATACAGTATATGCCAAATAAAGCCATATTTTAACACTCACTGTAAAATGGAGAAACCACTTGGGCGTTCACATGTTTTATATAATCGTTGGAGAAATCGCATCAATCAAACAAAGTCTGAAGCCTTTCTAGTGACAAAGAGCTGTAGGAGTAACTGGAAGTGTTGGTGGAATATAACTTATATATATAACTGAATGGTTCAGTTATATATATAAGTTATATTCCACCTGTTCCAGTAAATCCTCCCAACACGACAGTGGCCACGCTTTGTGTAACAGCTTACTGTGTGAGACGCTTACTGCTTTTTCAGACTTGGTATTAGGTAGACATTGTGTGCCTCTGCTCGGTTAGGACTATAACCTGTAACCGCATCATAATCCACGGATACATAGGCAGGGCTACTGGATGTGAGAAAGTCTGAGAACCAAAGTGTCTACAGGCCAAGAAATCTGTAGAGAAACATCAGCAGGGAGGAGCAGCACAGGGCCGTGGTGGTGGTCATCATGCATGCTGAACACGGTCAGTGAACGTGTTTTAGTGTCGTTACCAGAGATATATATAAAACTAATAAAGGCCTTCACAATATATATATATATATATATATATGTATGGTCGTTACATCAGAACCGAAGCTCTGCAGACTTCAGGATTCTGACCAACACGCTCCATGTGTTCAGATATTGTGAGCAGTGATAAAATGGTTCTTACCTGAGCCTGTGAGCTTCTGACACTGTTGTAAAGTCGCCAGTTAAAACGACTTATTCTGATACTTGTGGCTGAATTACCATCACAGCTTCAGTAGGTCCGCTCACGCTACTGCTAGCGTTAACCTTCACACACACACACTGCCACCGCAGGCTGTACTGCGCATGACACATTTGAGAGGCGCTGATTGGTTAGTTGCTTTTACTTCCTGTTTCCTGATAAAATATTATTTCGTTTCCAGTTTTATTTCTCTCATCTCGCATAAATGCATCAGTCCGCTTTCATCATAACTAACGCAGACAGCGTGTCCTTGTCAGTGCAGTTTAACGTCTCGTTTATGCAATCAAGCACTCGCCGGAAGTCCATCGTTTTTATAGTTCCGTAACTGTGCTAGCTGGTGCTTGTAGTTCCGCCTGTAAATCGTCTTCCGTGGGTTTTGCCAGACCCTGATGTAGACCTGTTTACATGAGCGCAAATCAAAAGGAAGGTGTTTTTTTAACACAGTATTTTAACAAAACCTACGTAACTGTTAAAGATAAAGGCATCAAATATTGATTAATATAGTATGAAATATAGTGATTTCTCATCGTATTATTCAAAATCGCAGTTGTATATTTATATTCTAACATAAATTTATATATAATGTAAATTATACTGTCCAATGCAGAACCATTGTGAAACTCCAGACCTGTGTTCTACTCGGATTAGGCTATCTGTCGGTTATGAAAGGAAATGAAAATACCTTTTATTTTTTGCTTGTTTCATTGTTGTGCCCCAATCTTTCATTTCTAAAAAGTATTCTGTGTGTTTTGCTTTGTATTAGGGCCATTGTACTTGAAGTCATCAAGTTTAAAATAAAAGTTCACATCTCATATTTGTCTTTTCTTCCTCTTTCTTCACATACTGTTGAAACCAGACATTTGCATACACTGTATAAAAACACAGAGAAGATTTAAAAATGTAGGCTACAGTGGCAGTCAGAAGCTTTATGATAGTTATTTATTTGAAATTCAGTTGTATGTAGTTTGGGATGTGCATTGAGCAGGTATAATAGATGAAACCTCTCCAATGGTGGCAACAACTAGAGGAGTTACATAATACAGCTGCTATGCTAAAATACAAATCGTGGTTTCCAACCCATAGAGTTTCAGATAATTGTATGAAAAGTGGCTCCATAAGCAATCATGTCCATGTTCAATTATAATTATGTTGTGCATGTAACATCAAGTGTAACATTATTTGTTTGTGATTGGTTTATTGCTTCTTTTCTTGACTTACCTTCTGTCAGCAATGTTTGAACTTTTGTTTCATTGCACTTCTCTATTTAAAACAAAAGCTTGGTATGTGTGTATTTGTCATATATGTAAACAAACGTTGGCCCCGTTGTGTTGTTTACATGTTTACATGTTGTTTATGTCTGTCCAAGTCACCTCCTTGTTAGTGACACATCAATCAGGCAGCAGCCCTGGTCTGCTCATGCGGTGCCTTTACAGCTTACTGACAGAAGAGGGCACCAGATATGAAGAAACAATAAACTGCAGTCACAGATTCTTCTGGACCTTTTTTAAAGCTTCACTTCTGCCACAAAATGTCACTGCGTACCAGAAAACACTTGGGCCAGAATGGTCCAAAAACACACACTAAGGTGTTAAAATGAATAAAGACACTTCTGTGATGAGCAGGGGCAGTGTTTCCTACCGCGGTTCAGACCAGACCAGCTACTGCGGAAACAATCGTTTGTCATTTGAAATAACATTGTACTTCATTTCTGGGCAGATATTTCACAGTGAAAGCAAATCTAGTGTATTTGTCCACTCATGTAAAGTAGAAGCATTTCAAATTATTTTGACTTTTTAACTGTATCAACAGGAAATCAACAATAAAGCCTGGTCACGATACAGTGGTAATCGTAGCCCACGACACAGGAGCATGAGGCTGAAAGCAACATGAACATGCATTGTCAACGGTGTCTATGTGCACCGAGTTAACATATGTCCAATAAGGACCCTTTAGTTCTGTTTCTGGTCTGCCAACTGTAAAAGAAAATATGTGTCCTTACCTGCACCACTAGATCTCTAATGGTGTCTGTCTGCTGCTGGCTTTTTAGAGCTTTTCAGTAAAAACAGCTATCTGCTGCTCCTGGAAACAAGATGAATGAGGGATAATTTTTTGTAATCATGACTAGGATTTCCACTTTCAAATTACACATTAATGACTTTAACCATTATTCAAAAAGTATTTAATTTTCTTTTAATCACAACAGCCGTTTTTACCCTAAGTATACAATAGCTTGTGCACAGAGAGGACACTTTGTTGTGAGGGTGGTGCTAAAGGAAAGATCGTGCTAAATAGAAGATGCTCAACATACTCAGAGCATGAATGCTACATCCAGGTGGTGCTAGCAAAGTTAATATTGAAACTAAGTTACCACCATTCTTTTGTTGACAGATTTGCTGAAAGATCATCCAAAAATGTTTTTGGACAATTCAAGACGAGGCATAGCCATAGTACTCAAAAATGATGGCTTTGACTCTTGTTTGACTATAATAGCAATGACCTCACATAACCTTCTGACTTGAAATTACCTTAGAGCTATCTCAAGCCAAAAGATTCACTGTTGTTACTCTGTTCATTTTGACATGGTCCTCGTTTTGGTGAATCGAGAATGATGACTGGTTTATCAGCTTCAACAAAGCTCTCGATGTGGACTTGACTTGGGAAAATGAGATTCCAGAGGCCTACAATCATTGCGTGTTTGTGTGGTCACAAGCATCATTTTATACAACTAGCATCCTTCAAATGCAACAACGACAACAGTTCTTTTTTCCCTGGGAATTTTGAGGGCAGCATATTATGAATGAACTTACCAACCTCCATGGGGACGCTTGAATGGAGTGGGAGGCAGTAAAAGTGGCTATTGCTAAAACTAGTGCAGTCAGTAGTTAAAACCCGATGTCTTTGACACGTGACACCTTTAACGCATCTTGATTCATTTGTTTTAGAAGTTTATTATATTATCTTGAATTGATGCCACCCTTCTGAGGTCACAGACAACACCATGAGGTTTACATGCGAAAGAAAACCTACGCAAGGTGCTCCCATATGAATCATTGGCCCTTACCAGCCTCCAACACCCTGCTCTCTGTGTCGCCACCTTCGCAAGGATATGAGTAATGTACACTTCATCTCCTCCCAAACTCCTATGCAGATGTGGCGGCTGTGTTCGATCCCCGCCCCCTCCACAGCCTAAGTGTCCTTGGGCAAGACACGAACCTGAAGTTGCTCCCAATGGCAGGCAGCACCTTGCATGGCAGCTCTGTGGTGTATGAATGTGTGTGAATGGGTGAATGAGAAACACATTGTAAAGCACTCTGAGTACCACTAAGGTAGAAAGGTGCTGTATAAGTGCAGACCATTTACCGGTACAAGTGTACCTCCTGCTCATGTGCCAGGATTGGTGCTTAAAACAAATCCTTGTTATGAGGAAAGACTGTGCAAAGTGATCTTCTGTCATCCACATTTTCATAATTCATCATGACAAGGGTTGTAATTATAGTAGCTGCAGGACTCTGGAGTTGCTTTGTACATGCTTTCCATATAGTCCAATCTGTACCCAGTGTCTATATCCCCATGTGTTTAATATGAAGCACAATGTGTAGCAGACCAATGCATACTGTGAAAGTAAAATCAGTTTTAAGCTCTGAGGCTATCATTTATTTACAATTTAACCACCTCCTCTTTTATTGATGATCAGTTGCTTACATGTTTAATCATTCTCTGAGAAATTAAATGGTTGTGTGTTTAGAGTTACAGTTTGACTGCTCTTTATAGTCATATGAGATGTGTCTGTTGTACAACAAGAGTCAAATATAGAGATCTCAGGTTCTGTCCGGTTTGAAGTTTCAGTCTAAAGAGGTTCCATGGTCAACTTTATGGAAGGAAACCCAGGCTGAAGGTCCTTCTAAGGAGATGTGTCTAAGGAATGTAGAAGTTACATGGAATAGTTTTACAGCAATGCCTACTGTAGTATAAATACAATTATGTGCGTGTCCACTCTCTGCATTCAACGCCTGCGTTGGTCTGCCTACACACTTGGCCCACATGTTTCAATACATCTACTGTACTATCCTAAACTAAGCTATTCTACGCTATATTCAATTATGCTATGCTACACTATACTATGCTATGCTACACTACACTCTGCTATACTCTCACACAGAACACGTTTCTACACCAGCTTCTTCGCTGCCAGTCAGACTGATGGCAGATACAAAATAAAACTAGATTCACAAAACTATTCTGCAATGTCAATGTTGTTTGCTGTACACATTTCTTCTGTTTTTATTTATTTATCTATTCCACAACTTGTTCATTTTTAGTGTATATGAATCCATAATTTATTCGTCTATGTGTGTATAAATGTTGCCCCTGTGCATATATGTGTGTGGTATTTTTGTGTATTATGATGGAGAGAAGCAGGAGTGTTTTCCAGTCGTGACCAGATGATCCAGGAAGCGATGGAGAGACTCGGGTCGGGTTGAGGTAAGTTCGTGGGGAACCAGATGCGAGGAGCGGGTTCACTGGAAAAAAAACCTTTGGAGAAGGAGAGACACAATTACTCAGAGGCACAAGAAGTAACAGAAGAAAAACTCAGGAGGAGGCTTGAAGTTACCACATAGGTTTACACTCAGGCGCCAAGTGACTGGCGACCAGTTCCTTACATCCAGGGAGGATCGAGCCTGATGAATCACAGGTGTGTGGAAACACACCTGCAGGGAATGCACCCCAGTACAGCAGGGGTTCTCCAGGACGCCCTCTGGTGGAAACCTGCAGGAGATGAACCACACCGACAACACAGCCCAAACCCCCATTTCCTGACAGTCTCCCTTTAACCAGATCATTTCCTGATTATTATTTCTGAGCGGTCCAGATCCTCAGCTGAGGGAATATGCTTTATCTGCAAACATGTTGAGTTGTGTGATACTAACATCACTGAATGAAGCCATTAAATTACAGTATCACATGTTGTCATGGGAATCTGATGGATTTAATTAGCGATGCAGAAATCTCATCAATATGTTTTTATGTTTGGCTCTAATCTGCTGTCAGGTCTGTTTACTCTGCTGCTACTGCTGCTGATAGAACAGATCAGAACATGGATCATGCTGCTGGTATTTATTACAGATAATATTCAATCAGTAACATTAGTTTCACTCTGATTGGGCCAAAAATTAAAGTGATCTCCTGCATTATGGGACAGAGTCAGACCGAAATGCACTTCAATACAAGATCATGTTTAAATGTATGAAGTCTAAAGTTTAACTTTAACATGCAGCTGTCAGCTGCAAATAAGCGACTGCATAAAATAAAAATATTACGCAGCAGCAGAACTTTTTACCATCATAAAGTTTTATATTCATCTTTGTTCTTCCATAAAACGTGCTGACTGAAGCAGCTGCACACAATCGTTTCACTTTGTGTGTAAGAAGAGTCACACGTTGCTAAAAATGCCTCCTTTAATGTGAACGAGTGCAGAATCTGAAGCAGAGAGCCTGAGTTGACAAAGAAAGTTGAACCACCTGCGTGATAGCCGTGATCTCTGGCGGGGGCTTTAGTTTTAGTCAAACCGACTTACACAAAGAAAGCCTGGGTGAGTCAAACTTACTTCGTAGTATACCTCTCTGGTCATCCAACAGATTGGGCTGTCAAAAACATGAGCACTCACATCAGCTGATGCCTTATCAGATCTGAGCGGCACAGCTTAGAATGAAGGTTAACCCTGAGCTTCTTTTTACATGGCTCTGAGTATAACACTAACAAATTAAGGAATTGTGTATCTTGTGTGTTTTGTGTGTGTATAATTGTGTTCTTCTGTACGTTTGATCCACTTTAGATTTAGCAAGGGTAATGCTCGGGAGCCAAGGAAGTGCAGTGTTGACTGGAAATTGACTTTGAACAGTCGACAAACATTTGAATAAAAGATGACCCATTAACTTACAACTCAGTCTGATTTCACAAAACTTTAAATGGTTGTGACGTATGGATTCACTTCATCACTGGGGTGCTTTTGATTTGTGCACAGCAGCTCATTTCCAGTTTGCAGTGCTTACAGAGCACCGCCTTGTTGGCTGTCTTTCTAACACAGTCCCATACGTCAGATGATCATGAGAAAGGGTTTTTAGCGACATCATTTTTTCTGGGGACAAGCTTTGTAAGGTGCAAAGGGCATGAGCTGCCCTACTCAGCCGCTGACTGGCTGACCCTGACACACTAATCCGTCTCACTACTCACATCCTCATCCAATGGCCAGTGAGGTAGCATGTTCCTCATGCATATTGTTCAGTATCCCCCAGTCTCGACACAAAAAGAAAATCTGGCAAAAATTCAGACCAAAATTTGAATTGTACCTTCTTGTGCTAAATAATACATTTAAAGTGTTGATATTTGTTTGTTTGCTGACACACTGGTAATTTCTTAACACATTATGGAAGTGAATTTATAGAAATAACAAAAAGTGCAGTTAAATGTTTTTCATAGGGATGATGACGACTTAAGAGAGCTAAAGGTAGCTATTCTTCAGCATTATACAGTGCATAACAAATGCATTAGACCACCACCCAATGTCAGGTGTATGCACAGCTGCCCTAAACTAACAGCATTGGTAACTACCCAAATCATTTTTTTTTATGTTTCTGTAACGGTTCATACACCAGCATGTGTAGAAGCTGTTTAACCAAAATGATATGTTTAATGCTAGAATATAATTATTATTGTTGTCCATGAGTTTTTACATTTACTGTTTTCCAAAAAAAGAAAAAATAGTGAAGCACATTATTATTTCTTTATTAAGATGTCAAATTGTGTTTGCATTCCTGAACAGAGAAATTAGGTTTAGTGGTTGAATGTAACGCTTGATTCATTTGTGACTCCTCAGAGAAGCCCAGTGGATCAGGTTTGGGTATAAAAAGGTGAATTCAGTTTAAAATTCCTCATTCCAGTTTAAAATGGTGAAACGTGGAGAGCTGAGCGTGAAATAAAGCACTTCAGGATGCTGGATGGTCTACACACATAGATAAACAGTGCTTAACAAATTAGACAGCTGGTCTAATACATTTATTTAGCAATGTATATAAGCAGTGGTACATTTTATCACCACTTCTGACTTCTCACTGCTTCGGTTCTGTTTTTTTAATGGGTCAGCTCAGAACAGCAGCTGTGCATATTATGGCCTGTTTTACTGGATCTCAGTGTTTCCCACAGGTGGAGAATTTGGTGGTGGTGGGCAGAGACTCAGCAGTTTAGAGGAGGAGAGCCTAACACAGGTGTTTAAATAAAGCTAAGATTTACAGATGTCCACCAAATGTCTCACATTCACACTACTGGTAGATATCACAATTTTCCAAGGTTCCTTGAATGTCTCACCTGCATCCCTGGATGCTAGCAGGCCTGCACATAGAAGTCACTGCAGCTCTGATAGGTATGTGGCCAGCAGTTAGTTTGAAAAGACCGAAATAAAACGTCTAATGTCAGATGTAGCTCCGCACGTACCTGTATGTCTGCATGAGACACACAGCGGCTGACTGTCAGGCTGACAGGCTGCTGGTGGACCTGCAGCCTTGACACCCTCCAGCTGGGCTCCAGGAACAGCTTCACCCGGTTAGCAAACCACTTCCAGCCCTGTGGCCACATTCCATCTACAATCCCTGCAATTTATCGCAAAATGACAAACGCATTTCTTCTACCTGCCATTGTGTAGAGGATGTGACCGTGCTAGTGAGCCGTGACCCACCCAGCAGCAGGCTGTAGGCTACGGGTTATAAATAGAAGGAGCTGCTGTAGTAGTTTACGACTGCTCAATCAAATAGCATGTACCCTGGAAGCTAACACGGTGTTACTCCAGACAGACTGCTGATGATTGGTCCATGGACAGGCCTGCCCTGTAGCAGCTGCCGTCATCCCATCAGACGTGCAGGAGATGCTGACTCCGCTGCTCATCCTCCACTCTCTCCTCCTCCTCCTCCTCCTCCTGCTGCTGCTGCTGCTGGGCTCCGGCCTCCAATCAGGTGCGTTCATCCTGGTTCCTTCCAACAGGGTCACGTCATCTGAGCTCAATAACGCTCCGTGATCACTGCTATTATTTTTTGTATTTGTAAACTCGGCTTCGGTTAAATGCAGATTTTCTCTGATTGTGGTTTCACAGCCTGTACTGCCCCCTTCTGTGTCCGCCGTTTGTTCCAGTGGGTGGGTTATGCACTGACAGGAATGTTTTGTGTAAAATAGAGTCTAATATATGCTTGGCTAAAAACCTGGACGTGTGCTGATGTGTTCTGTGCTTGTTGGTGTCGCCCTGCTCAGATGGATGCTGTGGATCAACGCTGACATGAGATAAGCGCCCTCTGTCTCCGCCGAGCTGCTGCAGCGCCGCGGACGCACCACAGACGCGAACACTTCGCATCCGAAAACGCCGGAGTACAGAGATTTGACATCCTGTTTTATCAGTGAGCTGTGTCATTCTGAAGGTTCGCCATCTGCCTGCACATAATGGTCCCGAGCCTGCTCTCCAGAGGTGATGTGAGCTGAGCTAGCGGGGAAGCCGCAGAGGAGCTGTGCGTGTGTCGAGGTGCTGATGCGGCTGTGACAGCAGCGAGCATGGCTGCCGGGAAGTTGCTGCTCTACGCCGGGCTCTCTCTTTCTCTTTGCGCCCTGGGGATGCTGGCCGTGGCGATGTGCTCCGATCACTGGTACGAGACTGACGCCAGGAGGTACAGGGACCGGTGCCGAAGCTATTCCAGCCGCCGCAAGGACCCGGGCTTCATCTACATCCCCAACAACAGCCTCCCGCTGCGGGCCAGCCGGAGCAGCCTGCCGCGCTGGGAGGAGAAGCTGCTGCTCGCCCGGAACCGGCGGCAGCTGTTCGCCATGAGCGCCGCGGACGACTGCCACAGGCAGTATAACTCCACCAACATGGGGCTGTGGAGGAAATGCCATCGGCTGGGTTTTGACCAGGAAATCGAAGATCTCATCCGGAAAGGTAAGAATGAAGTGGGTCTGAAGTTGTTGCACGAGCAGCAGCGAGCATCCGAGACGTCCTGAGACACAGACGGTCATAAAACATGGATTGGGCTGCTCGGTGGTTCTGTTCATTTGACCAAAGGGCAGACAAGGGCAGCTGTTTTCCTATGAATGCAAATGTTGGTGAAAGGCTGAGTGTGTGTGTGTGAGGGATGGATGGCCTTGGCTGCAGACTGCTTGTTGTCATGCTACATGTTCATGGTGACGCTGGCCGTGTTCAGGTCTCATTGTCGCTCTCCTGTAGCCTGCTGGAGCTGCTGCTGCTGCTGCAAATGATGACATAATCATTCCAGCCAGCTAAAGCACTCACCATGAGACAGGAAGAGTTCTGGGCTGGGCTGGGAGACATTCTGCCCACTCACTGCACGTGTGGACAGTGTTGTATGCTACAATAATCTGGTCCTGGGACTCATTTAAACTGGCCTCCTACACTTTTAATCACAGCACCACGGTCCATTAACTAGATTTGTACTGGCAGGTAGTAAAGCATGACCCAACCCAACAGGGGGGTTTAGTCAGGTTGCTTCATACTCAGCACTTCACGAAATGCAAAGACTTATTTCTGTTTGAGGTTTGATGTTGTTGTTGTCGGAGTTCCTGCTGATGGGCCAAAAAAGAAGTAATGTGAGAACAATATAAGTCAACACATACCTACATGTTCGACCAAAGTCTGTGTGGCTGTTATCAGAGTGTGAAATGATCAAGTCACATCATACATTTACCTTTGCTGATGTTGCTGAGCAGTAGGAGCAGCTTGGACCCTGCTCAGAGGAGGCCAAAGGGCAGGCTGAGTACCACAGATAGACCCGACACCAACACTATGCATGTTTCATGGATTTATTAAAGGTTTTATGGAAATAGAGCAAAATCTGCTGATAAAAAAATATACATTCAGCAAATTAAATTATTATTTTTGGTGATGTAGACACTTGTGTTAATCCATCCATC